TTTTTTCTCCACAGATGCTGCCAGACCTGCTGAGCTTTTCCAGCAACTTCTGTTAATGTTCTGGGGACTTTGGTTTGAATCCTGCCACGGCAGATGGTGAAATTTGAACTCAATGATAAAAAAAATCTGGAATTAAGATTGTCAATTGTCAGGAAAATTCCACCATCTCATCTGGTTCACTAATGTCCTTTAGGGAAGGAAACTGCCTTTCTTACCTGGTCTGGCCTACGTGTGACTCCAGACCCAAAGCAATGTGGTTGACTCTTAACGAGATGGCAATAAATGCTGGCCTCGCCCTCATTCCGCAAATAAATAAAAAAAAGGCAGTTAGTCTGTCCTTCCCGATACACAGTTCCTTTTCCTCAGAAGAGAGAGGACACAATACCCTGGATCTTCCAGACAGGCCAAGAAGTGGAAACATTTATCCCGGATCAAGCCTAAAGGTGCATTGTTATCATTTTACACTACAGGAGCCAGGGTTTCCTTTCCTGACCGCAGCACAAAGCGGTTAAAAGGAACTCGGAAGGTGAATGGCAAGCCACAAATAGACTGAACCCAAGCCTTCTTTGAGGTCACTGCAGAAAAGCAAACCCCTGACATCTATATTTAATGTTCTATGAGCTACTGTGTTTATGTGCCTACAGGTCTAGACAGATTTTGTTAAGGCTTTCTTCATTCAACTTTTAGTTCTCACAAGCCACCACCTAACAAATGTTGCGCACACCCCCAACTTACCACTTTGGTTCTGTCCACTGCTCCTCCTCCCTGGCTCTATCCATCTAAAAATCTGTCCCAGCCTTGCTCATAACCAACGATATTACCCCTCTTTTCTGCAACTCTGACTTGGATGTAGAAAAACCTCTCCTAAACAGATCCACCTCCTCAGTTCTGCTGACTATGGAGAAGAACAGAAGCTGCCATGGATGTAGAGTCGAGCTGGTGAGTAGGATCAAAAGAAAGGTGGGGGAGGCGTAAGTAGAGCTAGGGGCATAGGATGGGACCCCGAGATCCCTTTGCTCCTCCACACTGCCAAGAATCTTTCATAGGCTTTGATACCCCTGTTGTAACCCACTGTTCCCTGAGAAGATTCCAGCTGTACATTCTCTGAACAGGTTGATTATAATAACATTTGTAAACTTATGCTTGCTTATGGTGATTCCTAAATAAATTAGGTAAATGGCTTGTTAAGCACAGGGCAAACAGCCCAAGTTTACATGCTGGCAGATGACACCAAGATCAAGACCAGAGTGGTCACTGAATTAGAACTTAGAACATAGAACAGTACAGCACAGTACAGGCCCTTCGGCCCACGATGTTGTGCCGAACTTTTATTCTAATCCTAAAGGTCTATCTAACCTCCACCCCTACCTTATACTCTCAACCATATGCCTATCTAATAGCCGCTTAAATGCCCCTAATGAGGCGACTCCACTACCCGCTTCGGCAATGCATTCCACACCCCGACCACTCTGAGTAAAGAACCTACCTCTGACATCTCCCCTATATCTACCTCCATTCACTTTAAAACTATGCCCCCTCATAATAGCTACCTCCACCCTAGGAAAAAGTCTCTGGCTGTCCACCCTATCTATACCTCTGATCATTTTGTACACCTCTATCAAGTCACCTCTCATCCTTCATCGTTCTAAAGAGAAAAGCCCTAGCTCTCTCAACGTTTCCACGTAAGACCTTCCCTCCATTCCAGGCAACATCCTGGTAAATCTCCTCTGCACCTTTTCCAATGCTTCCACATCTTTCCTGTAATGAGGCAACCAGAACTGGACACAATACTCCAGATGTGGCCGAACCAGGCTTTTGTATAGCTGCAGCATAATTTCACAGCTCTTGAAATCAATCCCTCTATGAAAGCTAATACACCATACACCTTCTTAACAACTCTATCCACTTGGGTGGCTGCTTTCAGGGAACTGTGGACATGAACCCCGAGATCCCTTTGCTCCTCCACACTGCCAAGAATCTTTCTGTTAGCCCTGTATTCTGCTTTCAAGTTTTTCCTTCCAAAATGAAGCACCTCACACTTTTCAGGGTTAAACTCCATCTGCCACTTCTCAGCTCAGCTCTGCATCCTATCAATGTCCCATTGTAACCTAGAACAGCCCTCTGCACTGTCCACAACGCGACCCACTTTCGTATTGTCCGCAAACTTACTAATCCACCCTTCCACTCCTACATCCAAATCATTTACAAAAATCACAAATAGAAGAGGACCCAGAACAGATCCTTGTGGTACACCACTCGTAACTGAGCACCATGTTGAATATTTTCCATCCACCACCACCTTTTGTCTTCTAAGGGTCAGCCAATTCTGAATCCAATCTGCCACATTTCCCCCAATCCCATGCCTCCTTACCTTCTGCATGAGCCTACCATGGGGAACCTTATCAAACGCCTTACTTAAATCCATGTATACCACATCCACTGCTCTACCTTCATCCACGTGTTTGGTCACCTCTTCAAAGAATTCAATAAGGTTTGTGAGGCATGATCTACTGGTCCTTGCTTCAGTGTAAGTGCGCTCTCTGGAACTTGTGGTGATATTCCAGTGAAAATCTCAAAATTCTCTGCTATTGAAACCAGAAGACCTAAGCCACCAGTACTATATTACAACCCGTACAAAAAGAAATTCCAATGAAAGCAGTGAGGAGGCTGTATTGATTTATGAAAGTAGCTTTACCAATGTAAATAATTAAACTTAAATCATTCATCTTTCACATATTCGTAAAGTCTGATACAGGTAGAATTCAAAATAGGTTGCCATTTCAGTCTGGACAAAACAAAACCTTCCACAGCAGATCTACAAACAAAGAGGGTTATCAAATGAGTTAATTTGCCCATCTTTATTTTGGAATAGCAGATTCAATTGTGTACAGGCAACAGGGCACCGAGAAAGTCGCTTAGTCACGCACAAGCCAATTTTTCATCAAACAAGTTACAATTATTTCACTAATAATCTCACAGATCTGGAGCTCAAATATCGGGAGAGGAGAATAAATTTTAAAAAAAGG